CATCATTTTACATGTACCGGGTATATGTACTGGTAAATTGGACCTGAACACCAGTGCTTTTTTCTTTGTTAGAAGTGTCCCGCTATCAAAGGGATCTTTCTTTTCTTCTTTAAATTTACATGTGCCGTATACATGTAAATGTATATGTATATGGTAAGGATCAGCTGAAGCAGTATGTTGCCATGGTAACAGACTGATACATGTACCGGTATCTTCGCAGCCTCCCTTTTTCAGAAATATTGTGGAATAAAGACTTACTGAAGTCAACAAAGAAAGAATCATTCATGAAATACATGTACACTGTATGTTGGAAAGAGAATGGTTGGAGTTTTGATGCCTATGTACATGCATATGTATATGACACTTATGCAGAATTGCAAAGCTAAGTTAATACCAGTTTCTGCATTGAAGTGGGCAGTGATTTTTAAGCAGACAGACATGTATTGGGTAGAATTTGATTACACTGTAAACTCACTTCTTTGTTTACTGCAAATTAATTTCTTATCAATTTATGGTTTTGTTTTCCTGATTGTACTATGCCATGAGCATCCCTCACGGCGGAAACCGGCGCGTTATGAATATCCATTATTGTTATTGTTTTAGTGGCTAAGGACTAGTGCCTTACATTTAAGTGTAATACTATTTGAAACACAAGTATGCATTATCCCTTTAAAGACTGTAACACAGAGGGAACAGATTTATTATTGTGTACTTTGTTTTTTCTGTTTTTATGTTAGACCCAGAGCATGAACGTGGAAACAGCAACAAACGCTACTTTGAGTACCACATATCCAAGAGAGAGCCCAGAGGTGAATTTGAGGAGGACGAAGATGACGATGAAGGATGGGTAGAAGTTGATGAGACTGAGAAGAAACCGGAAGATCTGGGTCCAAATACATCCCCAGAGAGACAAGCTTATGAAGCCCTGTGCCGTGGAGATCCAGGCTCAGTCAAGGTACCGTAAGATGCCAAGCATACAATATCTGCAAATCCACCTCAATCAAAGTATTCTATTATTCCAGTCCAAACTAATGTTACAATATTTTTGGAAAATGAGAAAATAATTCAGGCTTCTGATAGTGTCTTTGGTGTTGAATGAAATGCCAAAGCTTGCATAAACTTCCACAGTCCTCGTGAATATAGGTATAAATGTGAGTTTTAAATTTATGTTACAGATTCCTAAGAACCGACGTGTTCTGAAGTGTCGTTACCAGCACTACAACAACCCTCGCCTGTACCTACAACCAGCTAAGGAGGAAGTGGTCTTCGATCATCCCAGACTGATCATATACCATGACATTTTGGATGACAGGGAGATTGCTAAGGTGAAAGAGCTAGCTGCTCCAAGGGTATGTACCGGTCCGGAACCAACCTGTTTCTGTCCATGTCATCTGCTCCTTCAAAGTCTCAATAGAGGTTTTTTCATGTGACGTAACATGATGGGCGAAGGCATTCAGGAAGTGTGCCATGTCCCTAGAAGCGCGTCTATTTTCGAAGCTGTGTATTTCTATTGGCAATTTCATGTATGCCAGAAGGTTGAGAGACTTCCAAGGCGTGTGCGTTTCTGCGCATGGATGTGTAAATTGAACACTGACCCTCAAAAATCATGGTGACTGAAAATCCTCAATAGTGTAATTTGATAACCAGAATTAGAAGCCATTACTGCGGTGCTTACATGTACCTTTTCCACAAATCAGGTGTCGTGATTTGTCAAATGCACATGTGTCAAGCGGAAGAATGTGCGTGTGGGTGTGGTGCCTCCGCAGTTATGGCATGTAATTGGGCTGGTCTATATGAAATGATTCATTCGTTTATCTCACAACATTACACTGTCTGTTCTCCATTTACTGTGTTGCTTTATTAAACTAGGGAACGTGAACTTATAAACAATCACAGTCATGCTTGCATTGCCAGATCAGTGTTGGGCCGCTATCCACTTGAAATCTGTCTCAGAAGCAGAGGATGAATTGGGATGTGCTAGTATCTTCTCGTCATTTTTTTATATTGAAATTGTGAGAGAATAGTGACTCAGTAAACTTGTGTGGAAAAGCAGTATTTACATGTATGTACATGTATGTGTATTTGTTGCAGCTTCAGACAGGGTATTCCATGTTTGTTAAATAACTGCTTTCTAACAGGGAATTCTGAAAAAAATTCAGGGCATTCAAAAAATTCTCATCAAAATAAAGACATGCAAATATTAAAATTCAATTCATTAAAAATTAAAACAAATATTGAAAATATGCAGAAATGCATATGTGCTAATAGATATAATCCTGCTTTGAAAATTTAATCCAAAGCTAAACCGAGCCACGATTCAGAACCCTGTGACCGGCAAGTTGGAATATGCAGACTATCGCATCAGTAAAAGTGCTTGGTTGAGAGAAGATCTGGACCCCATGGTGACTTCCATCAGACGCAGGGTATCTGACTATTCAGGATTGGAGCTTGCAACAGCAGAAGAACTGCAGGTTGGTAGGGGAACAAGACCATCTTTAGCTTGAATACAGAACCATCACACGTTGGGTTGTATGAGGTTTAGCCGACATTTTCTAGTAACGGCAATATCTACATGTATCATGTCGTAGAGTTGACCAATCTGACCTTTGGTATACAGCCGACATCCTCATGATTTTTTTTTCTCAATATTATTGTTTTGATTGCTTCAGTGTTGACTGGCCTGGTGTTTGAGCTGCACGTTGATGTTATTTTTATCCATTTTTCAGGTTGTAAATTATGGCATTGGTGGGCATTATGAACCTCACTTTGATTTTGCCAGGGTGAGTACCCACTGAACTTCTGTTTTCATCCACTTCCCAATTAACAGCATACCTGTGCATGGCAAAGCTCCCTAATAACCCTCACGTGTGCTGTTGAATGAAGAGTTTTTAAGTTTGATCGCTGAAAAATGTCATCATAAATGTCTACACGTAGATATACAGTTGACTCTCGTTATTACAAACTCAGTAAAGGTGAAATTCCAGTTATAACATATATTGTCAGTCTCAGCGAAATAATGCACATTCCTATGGGGAGAAAATCTGTTACAGTGAAATTGCACAGTACGAAATTCTTTTTACCACAAAAGGTTTCTGTGATTCTGTTGCCAAAAAAGCATTGTTGGCAACCTATTTATAACGAGTGTTTATAAATCCTGGATCACATACCTGCAAGCTTCATGTACATGTAAGTTCGGACACGTTGACGATATGCACTCGTGGTTGTTCATAATTATTTGGAATTTCCAACCACATGCCCAAAAGAAAACACTGAACATTACAAAATGAATGGACTGTAAAAAGTCTCTCCGTGACACAATTTGTGCAGGAAAGATTACTTACCAGTTGGTCATTAGTTTTGGCATTCCTGCGGTTGGTATGTAGACTTTTCCTCAGACATAAATTACGTTAGACTGGTCTTGGTGTTTTAAGACTGGTCTTGGTGTTTTAAGACTGGTCTTGGTGTTTTAAGACTGGTCTTTGTGTTTTAAGATT